ACTTCATGTAAAATGAATTATTTCCTTGATTTTCTTATGTTAAGTTTGGGGATCATGTAACTATAAAGCCACTTCTCCTACCTGTACAACATTCCATCACATGCACAGCTATATATAGCATACCAACTTTATTATTCACAAGCTAGACCTAGTAATGTTGGGCTTTCAGGATGGTTGTATTTAAAAAGATAATGAGTGTTAAATGTATCAACAAATATTGATTGAACACCTATCATTTACTGGACTGTGCTGGATTTTAGGTAGAATGTAATCCCGAAGAACCTAGAAAACAACTTCTAACCTTATGGAGCTTAGACTCTAAGGCCTGAGTTTGAGAACATCTCTAAAGCCCCAACAGTCAGAATTGAAGGCAAGGAGTCCCCAAAGGCAAATCACCATGACCTAAGTAAGCGAGAAGCTCAAAAATGGTACCCACTGTCATGGTTTCCATCATAATGAACAAAGGTGCAACTACATCACTGTCAATAAAGCCTTTCAGTATTATAATTTCCTAATGAGAGTAATACTTTTAGAAACAGAGGAAAGACCATAGTGGTATTTCTTATGAGTAATAACCATTATGTCACCTGTTATCTCATCTTCTCCTCCTAGAAAGCCCACGGTTCCCATAAAGCGAGGAGTTTTATTATAAATGAACTGGGTTCATTTGTATACAGTGACTGATTTTTAAATATAGACCACTTTCCTAACTTGGTCAAATTTAATGTGATTTGCTTCTACCATCAAGGAGGCTCTCTGCTTTTAAAAGCTGTGTCTTGGCTTCCTTATCACTTCACATCATAGTGTTTTCATTGTTTGGTCAAGGAACTGATAGAAATGGAAGTTATTTACCGTAAAGTACACAGCCTCTTCTCTCACTTGAAACCACTCTTCTTCCTGTTTCTCTGTTACTGTCAGATAATCCACCATCTTGGGTGGGGAGTAGATGAAACCACCATCTAACATTTGACTAACAGAGGGAAGTGACCACAGGATGTCACCATCTGTGTCAGAGGAGAACAGACACTTAACAGGAAGGACTACATTTACCAGTAAAGGAGAGTTGCATATCTGTAAAGGCACTCCACGCTCACCATGCTTATAGAAGGGAGAGTTATGATCTCTTTCATTAAGCCTTCACCACTCAACCTGTATTCTATACTGATGAGATTTTTAAATACAATCTCTGTCTTTAATTATTAATCTTAAAGCTTTTTTCTTATGATTAATATTATCTACAATTAGTTCAGCATTGTGTTAGGCACTTCAGATATTTTATCTCAATTAATCTTCCCAGTGATCTTCTAGGCAAGCACTCTTACTCTTTTTTTTCACGTAAGAAGACTGGCTCGGAGAGGAAAGGTGGCTTACTTAGAGCAACTTACCTGATAAGATTCCAGTTTGATTCCTGGTACCCAACAAAAAAAATGTAGAAGGAACTATGCTGGTGATGCAGAGTTTGTGATCCTTTTACTCTCTGACCTACTGCCTCGTGTATGTGAATCGCAATCTGCTCAGACTGCCCTACTTCCCCTGCCTGTTCACTCCCTCACATTATTTGTGTCCTTATCTGTCTCCTCCAAAGGTTTGTAAGTTCTTGTAAGATGATTTGTTCATCTTTGTATTCCACCCCAGAGAATAGAACACTAAAAGGTTAATGAATACTTTTTAAAGAAATACATACATACACTGGGTTCAGTACCATACAAACGGGATATAACCTTATAACTAGAATTCCTAACTTCCCATTCAAGATTACAGAAAGTCCTTCTTTTTTTAAGATTAATAGTGAATCAACTCACTTTATGTAGTCTGTGTGATAGTAGCCTTGCAATGGCTGAACTTCTTTTCACTGTGGCTCCAAATTACATACCCTCTTGTCCAAAGCCAGAGAATACAATTCTCCCTTCCTAAGTGTGCCACTCAAAAATAGCTGGATAAAGACAAGAAGTTACTCAAAGGTGGATAGAAAAACTTGCTGCTTTGCATAAATAGAAAAGCTTCCCTCAAAGTACAAGAAACCCAAGGGAGTCATTGTGCAGACAGCACAGGAGGAGAGTGCTCCCCTTTATACGTATAAGACTAGTTTCCCTGGAGCAGATGTAGACTGAAAGAGTTCCCAGCCATTAGAATTTAAGATCTAAACACCTGAAAGTCACTTCAATTGGGATGGAAGAAACGTGGAACAAATGGGTGTGTGGGGATCAACAAACCAAGAAAGAAAGCAGACTGGGATGGTAATAACGCTGTATCTTTATGGAAGGTTTCCTTCATGCCAGGCACTTACATTGTTTCTGCAGTCTGAGGGGGAGGTATAGCTTAAGTGTAGAAATAAAGCTTAGAGAAATTAAGTACCTTGCCCAAGTTCCCCTTGTTGGTAAGTGTAGAACTGAGAGAACTGAATTCATATCTATCTTGCCTGCAAAGCCTAAGCTCTTTACCACTAACACTAATCATTAACTACACTTAACTAACCATTTTCTCTGTTCCCTGGTGAGCGAGGACTGGCAGTTAATTACTAGAACCTCACTGCATATAAGTTGTTATCCTTACTTACAATTATGTGAAAGCTAAATGTTCTCATTCTATAAGATAGATGTTATCATTCTAAATTACTTTTTTGTTGTTGGTCATTTAAGTCCTAGGCTAACAACCTCTATTAGATAATATACAGAGACATCTGGATTCACTGTCCCCAAACTGACAATTTTACTCAAGAAACAGATGCCCAGGATGGGCAGAACAGATAAGCAGTGGCCATTACAGAGTGCAGTGCGGTGAAAACTGTCAGTTGTTTCACTTAGATGTGTAGTGTGGATTATGATGTACCAGGCAGTTCACATCTATTATTTAATGTGGTATTCTAAAAAAATTATAAGGAAGATAAGTAACACTATTGCTATTATACAAATGAGGAGATTCACCTGGAATGATCAAATTAGTAAGTAGTAGAATTAGGACTTCACTTTAAGTCCTGAGAGTCCAAACCCCAGATAAATGAACTTGTAGACCTTTAAAACTATAGATGGAAAGGTGGGGGATACAGCTTAGTGGCACAAGTGCCTGCCTGGCAGGCGCAGGTCCTGAGTTTGATTCCTGGTACCCAACAAAAAAAATGTAGAAGGAACTATGCTGGAGTCTTTACTCGGTCACATGTCTCTCTAAACTTCAGTTTTTCTCGTCTGTAAAGTAAGGGTCAGAATGCCTACCTCACAGGACACTGAAACTAATGGAAATAATATAGATAGAATTCCTTCAGTAAAGCAGTGAACAAAACAGTGGGAATCCTATCCTCCTGGGGTTTGTGCTCTGGTATTAGGAGGAAGAGAGTGAGAAGCAAACATTGAAGAACTGCATACTTAACAATCAATTTTCAATAAAAAATAAAGGGAGGGCTGGGGATATAGCTCAGTGCCACAGCGCAAGGTCCCAGCACCTGCCTGGCATGCACGAGGTCCTGAGTTTGATTCCTGGTACCAATATAATGGAAAGCCATTGGGCATGGTGGCACATGACTGTAGTCCCAGTACTTGGGAGGCCAAGGCAGGAGGATTGCTCTGAGTTCAAGACCAGCCTGGGCTGCATAATGAGTTCAAGGCCAGCCTGAACTACATAGTGAGACCCTGTCTCAAAAAAAAAAAAAAAAAAAAAAAAAAAGCAAAATACTGAATATTTTGAGGTATGCGGTAGAGTGGCCTAGCTCAGTATGAAATCCAGGGGAAGCCTCTCTAGGCAATGATATTTTCACTGGGACCTGAAGAACATATGACAACCAGCCCGATGATGTGGGTGTGGGTGACAGCAGATAGTGTTTCAGGCATAAGGAGCACCATTGATAAGGAAGCTTGGTGTTCTTGAGGAACAAAGGAATGACTTATGGAGCTGAACTGTAAAGAGGTCCAGGAAGAACGATGTGACAGGATGCAGTGAGGTAGCTGCCTTGGAGGTCAAATTAAACATTTTGAACTTTAACAACAGTGAAAAACAACCTAAGAGATTTAAGCCAGGGAGCAATGTGATTAGAATTCAGCTTTAGACACTTCTGGTTTCTAATGGGGAAGCTGAGATCTTTTTAAAAGCTTGCTGTGGTTTTTTAAACAAATACTTCCCTAGCACCCCTTTATGTTGCAAAGAGAATTTGTTTCAGAAAATGTAGTATCAGGAAACAAAATGGGGCAGTGCCGGCTTCTTCTTTGACAACTTTCAAGAGCTAAGACAAGCCACCTTGAAGGCTATCTCTGCTCTCACCACCTCAGGCCGTTGCTTCTCTCTGTAAGCAAAGATCAACTTCTAAATCTTAAAAGTATGTTGAGAACCAGTGTGACATTTCTGTGAAAGTCACTTGACCATTTCTTTGTTATTATTTTCGAATAAATGAACAAACATATATTAAGCATTAACTATATTTACTGTAAACTATATTTACTTTATTAAGGACTCATTATATTTACCGTATTTACTGCTGGAGGTAGAAAGAGATAATATAGAGGCCCTGTACTTTAAGAACTCAGTCTGGAGTAGAATAAACCGTAAGAGTAGACAAATAATCACAACCGTGTGGGATTAGAAGAAAGAAGCGATAAGGAATTACAGAGCTAAGGGAAGTTTTTAGAAGAGGTAGTTAGCATGTAATATGTGCTTAGTAAATACACTTTGACAAGCTGGGTTTTTTTAAAATTCAAGGGAGACTTGAAGGCTGAGGAGAAGCTTAGTAGGTAGCAGAAGAAGAACAGTGAATGGACTGCAGCATAAATACCTTTAAAGTGTTTTTCGGAGACTATTTTATCATTTATAAACTGGATAGACCTCAGGAGAGGTTATTGGCAAGGAGGGCACATAAATCCTAGGACAGTGATCCTAGTGAAAGATGAAGAGGACTTGGTATTCACTTAACACTAATTGGACTATACTCAGTTTCCTTACGTTTTACTCAGCAGTGCAGTATGTGGCCTGTGTCATTTGTATCTTATCATGGATGAATGCCTCATTTCCCTCCACAGGGCGATGGCTGCGTCATCGAATGAAATCCTTACAGCATTTAATTCTGTGTTCTGCAAACCATGCACACCCATAAAAGGTTGATTCACTGAGCTGGAGTGGAAGTGGGGAGCTGCAATGAAGTAGGAGGGAGAGGAAAGGAACCAAGCATGGTAATGATCATCCAGGATTGAACATTAAAACATCATTAATGTTTTTCATAAGTGTAATAAAGAATTAGTGCACAAGATTTAACTGGATAGTTTTTAAGATAAAATTATTAAGTCAAGCCAGGCATAGTGGCACAGGCCTGTAATTCCAGCACTCGGGAAACTGAGGCAGGAGGATTGCCAGGAGTTCAAGGCCAGCCTGGGCTACATAGTGAATTCAAGGCCAGTCTGAACTACAGAGTGTTACCTTGTCTCAAAAAAAAAAAAAAAAAAAAAAAATCATTAAGGATGTGCAGTACTGTTTTTAATAGTGATAGGTTTTAATTCTCTAAATATCCAGCAATAGAAATACTACCAAATCAATCATAATGTATGTTGTGATGAGGGTTACAGGGGAGTAGATTTAATAGAGGACACATAATTTATAAGATTATAATATTCTCTCAAACAGTCAAATGCAGAAAAGTGCAAGTGATCCGTCCATACATTAGAGACCAAAAGAATCCAGCTGAGGACCTGGATCCCATGGCAATGTCCCACATGAGTCCAGCCGAAGACTTAGAGCCCATGGCAGTTGTCTCTTGCAATGTCTCTGCGTCAAGGATCTGTGCTGGGAAGGTCCGAAGGTCAGTGGTGGAAGCTAGAAAGTCTTCACCTGGGGGATGAAAGCGCTGTGCCAGCAGGCTAAGGGATCTGCACTGGAACCAGGAAGGAACACCTAAGGTAAGGACCAGAGCTCTGCCTGAAAAGAACTGCAGCCATCCTCAGCTACAGGACCTGAGCTCCTCTGATGATAGTGACAGGTGAGCTCACATTAGGAAAACCAGTACGACAAGCTTCTCCAGGAGAATCAACACCCTCCCCACTTCCCCTCTGGTTCTCCTTTTTATGCTGTTGGCAACAATCCTCAGGTGGGCTTTGCATACCCAGAACCATGCTGATTCAGTTCAGCTGGGTGTTACAAATTGACCATTAGTTAATCTACCACGGTATAGTGTAATCCCAATGATAGGATGTAATGAAAAACAGTAATCTGAAGTAGGTTTGCTGATGTAAAGAAGTCAGTAATTTATACTTCTGTATAAAATGAAAGATATACTAATTATTATGTTCTGATATGGTTGTACTTTCTTCTACTTCTCTATTTCCTAATTTTTCTGTAAGAGAAAATAATTTAAAGAATGTATTTTTAAAAGTGTGAATGAAATGAGAAAACAACTAGGAACAGAGAGGGAGAAAGAGAGAGAAAGAAGTGCATAACAGTAGGTGGGGATAAGAAAGAAACAAAGTAGGAGAAACAGTTGGAATGTTTCAAGAGATTTTTCTGGTTTTCCAGAAAGTTAGGAGAGAAAATATTTTCATTCTCAGAGTTTTTCGGTATGCTTTCCAAGCCATCAAATTCCTAAATATAACCAAAGATGATGATTTTACAGGCCAGCCAACGTAAACATAGTAGACGTGACACTGGAGCTTCAAAAGACCTTTTAAATTGGCGATATTTTATTTTTCTCAAAAGTTTCCATTATGAGTTCCTTTTAAAATATACCCTTTCCTCCTTCAGCAGGACTTTAAAATTTCGAGAAAATGCAGAACAAGATTAACATAACAGCATCTGGGAAGAAGTATGTGGAAGGAAAAAGCAAGAGGGAGGTGTTAGGTTAATTACTTGGGTGCGGAGGGGAAGGGGAGGACTTTTCCGTAGCCTAACCCTAGGGGGGCACCACTAACATATCAGGGTGCATTCAGATCAGCCAGGTTCTTGTTAACAAATGCAAGAGCATTTGTGGGTGGGGGCCGGTCCTGGGTAATCGCCTTATGCTCCTGATCCATGGATAACTCTGAGCAGCAAGTCTTACACATCTGTCCTTCTTGGTTGCATCACATTGGCAGCCTCTCATTTGTAATAAATTCTTTCTAAACTACGGGTTTTATATTTTTTGGTCCAAATGTTAAATAGTGGAAACTTTTGAGAGAGTCATTTTACCAGGAACAAGGTACAGGTCAAGGCACTGTGCATGAGAGTAAAAGAGGAGATCAAAAATGGAGTGGGTGGGAGGCCTTGATACACGAATGTGTTGTGGGGAAGACCTGGACTGCTGGCAGAAGACCTACTTGCAGTCCTAGCAGTCATTAGCTGTGTGCTTTTGTGCCATTTCTTTCTGCTTCTCTGTTTAACTTTGTATGAAGTCAAAGACTTGGTCTACATGGCTTCTAAAATCTTTTCAAGTATGAAGCTTCAGCAGTCTATAAAAGAGATCCTATACCAATAGCAAGAGTGGAAAAAAGAATGTACCATCACATACATAGCTGCCAAAGATCCTGTACCTATGATATTATAATGGTGGAATTTCCCCCTTGTCTGCCCAGAGGCAAAAATGTTATTGGAGTGAGAGACAGGGAAACTTGCCCGGTATGAAATTCTAGTACCCTGACTTCCTGATTTTGGCAATTTAGAGTATTGGGACTCTGTCCCAGGCCCTGTGAAATGAAGCAGGCCCTGTAAACAGGCTCTCCTAAAGCCTCCATGTAGCACTGGCAGCTTTCAAATCTTAGGGTCCTCAGCCCTCAATTCTAGGGCCACCTTTAGCTTTTACCTCATTCCCTTAAAATGGTCAGCAGCTCAGTACTCTTGAGCTCAAGGTGCCAGCCAAATGGCTTGAATTCTGTCTGTAAACAAACTCAATCGTTACAGCAACTCAAACTCTCCCTAAGGGTCCCCCCTGCACCCCAAGTCTCTCAGAGACCATGTAGCAGCCAAGCCTCCAGGAACTGCAAAGACTGTAGGTGACACTACTTTCTTTGTGCTTCAAATGGTCCCGTCTGCAAAGTGAGGATCAGCCCTCATTTTGATAAGCATGAGGGTGGAAAAGGGGCCTGCTGAAGTGAGATTACCTACCAGGAATCTAAATCTTGCAGCTCCACCTCATACTTCCACAGACTTGCACTCCTTGACTTTTTCTTTTTCTTTATTTTTGGTGGTGGGGAGTTGCAGTGGTGGTACTGGGGATCAAACTCAGGGCCTCACAAATGCTAGCAAATGCCCTACTACTGACCGACATGCCCACCTTCCTTGACTTTTAATTTGTTAAACAAGCCTGCCGCTATTCTAACAAAGGCTCACAAGTCACCTGCAAAATTGCCAGCTTCAGATAGTTTCCTGTTATTTGCCTGAGGTCTGTGAGGGCAGCCAGAGTCCCACCACTTTCTTGAGGTCCCTTCTCCAAAGCAGACACCTCTTGAGGTGCCCATCTGACCCTCCTGTCTCTAGGAGTTATTTTTCCCTTCAGCCTCCGCATAGGCCAGCCTGAGTAATGTGGCTGGATGGTACAAAGACTGCTTTTTATAATGTTCTTCCCTCAGAATTTTTGGTGTCTGGAAAGGGCTTCCTTTCCTCCCATAGTTAATTAGCAGTACCAGAGCATTTCCCTTTCCTCAACAGAAAGTCTGTCCCTGCCCCTGAGGCCGGGCAGAAAGAGGGGCAGGTGTGGCTAAGTGCTCCTGAGGTTAACCTCAAACTTCAGCTTCAGGTCTTGTTTGGTTGGAAGCAGTGTAAAATGCAGGGTTAGCTGCCATTCTGGGCAGAGCTGGCAAGCAGGCACATGTCCCTGGCAAGCCAGCAAATTGTCTTTTAGCATCCCAATCAAATGAGGGGACCAGAGAGGAGGGTAGGGAACCTATGTGTACTTGACACATTTGTGGATTGTTTGTACAACAAAGACTTTTTTTTATAAAAACAACAGAATGGAGCTTTATATATTTGAATGAGAAGCACACAGAAGAACCTATTGTCAGGAGGAAACATTGCATGAGTAATTGTGCATGACGTCAGTTTTCCCAGTTGAAATGCTGGTGTGCTAAGGATGATTGTGGGCATTCCAGTGTGTTCAGTGTAGGGGGAAGAGGAGGAAGGAGCTCCTGGGAGGAGGGGAAGCAGATCACTAGCCAGACAGGGAAGCAACCTGAGGAGCTCTATGAGCCATTTTTCCTTGCTGGTTCCCATTTGTCTTCTATTTAATGGAAGTACTTCCACCAATAGGAAGCCTTCTTGTCCCTATCTCCTCCTCCCACTTCTCACCTTAGTTATTCCCCTTGATACATAGCTCCTCTCTTTTCATTACTTTCTACTCTATGATGTAATAGTATGCCAGAGTAGTAAGCATGGACTCCAGGCCTGGATTCTGCCAGTTACTGCATTACCATGGGCAGTTTAGTCATTCTCTCAGGACCTCAGGTTCCTCATTTAGAAAATGGGAATAATACCCACCTTCTAGGGCTGTTGGGAGGATTAATACATATGAGGATCTTAGAACAGTACTTGGCACTTCGTATGCATTCTATAAATATTAGCAGTTATTCTTATTTGTATTCCCGCTTGTTAGAACAAGATGTACAGTAATATGCCAGGAGTCAGTGGTTTTTGTCTCTTACATGCATCGTCATTACTTGAGGAGCTTTAAAAATACATGGCCCTGAGTTCCATTTACATAGGGGTAAAATCTGATCATGACATTTTGGGGAACAAAGCTCTGAGGGGTTTTATTATATAGCCAGGCTGAGAATCAGTGTCATAGCTACTCAATGAATATTTGCTGAATGAGTGAATGAATACACCAAATGGGATCAGAAAGCAAATCCATGTTACTCCATCTTTGGATCTCGGGGCAAGATTCTGTCTCTTTCAGAAAGTTGGCCCTCCTTGGACAACATCAAGAGAAAAATGTGACAGAGAACATAACAGAATTATGAAAGAAAGAATCACAATTCTAATCTTTTCAAATATTAAAATATTGAAGAAATATAAAATCAATTAGCTAGGAGGTAACAATAGTGATCAGTAGGCATTTCCTCTTATTCTTCCTTCTGTTTATGCAGATTTATTGCCCAGAGTTGCTATACCAACTCAAGCCAGAAGCTGAACTTTGACTTTCCCTCAAGTTATGATTTTGATTTGATTATGATTTTTTTATTTAAAGAGAATAAAAAAACAATAAAAATGATACAGAATTTCAAAGCAAGATGATAGGAAGTTAACAGTGGTTGTTATATTGCATATTGTTATCTTCAAAGTAGTTATTCAGCTTACCAGATATAGGCATGCAAAATGGATCAAACAATTAGGCATTAACTGTACCTTTCAATAAACCAATAGAAATTAGTAGTACAATTATCTTGGCTATCTTGTGTAGCAACCCAATCTTTAACAGAGATCATAAAAATTTAAAGATCTCAAATAAAGCATTTGCACCTTTCTAACATATAATTATGTTCATAATAGTAACATAATTGTAATTAACTGCTTTACCTAGCTGGCCTACAAAATTTAAATTAACTGCTGCTTGTAGAACATTCAGTCAGGTACTTTAAGAAACTATAGCCAGAACTTCCTCTCAACAAACTTACATATTAATGAGAAAAATGAAGCTAAACCTGCTAAAAACCAGAGAAAGCAAATGTGGCAGACACATTTAAACAGTGTATAACAGTGTACAGAGGACCACGGATTCAGACTTTGGGTGCACTTCTCACAGGCTGCATGACTTTGGTTAATTTAGTTAACCACATTGAAGTTCAGCTTCCTCAACTACTAAATGCAGCTTTTGATGTCTACATCACAGATTTGTTGTGAGAACTTAAAGCAATAATATATGTAAATGTCTAGCGCCCCATTAAATAAAATTATTTTCATTTACAAAGAAGCTATATTCCAACAGCATGCTTTCAGA